CTTTGTTCCCACTGCTGGCTGGCGCTTGGGGGCCTAATGACCAGGGGCAGCTGGGGACAGACAGATAGCCCCTGCCTGAGAGAGAGGGTGGGTGGCTTGGCAGGGGGCCCTGCATTTTGGTGGGATGACACCCCTCACCCGCCCCATCCACGGTGACCTGGCTCCCACTCTGGCTGGTCTCATGGTCCCTGAGTGGTGTCACAGTGGTTGTCCTGTGTCCTCTGCAAATGTCCCTTTAGAGTACCCACGGCCTGGCCAAGCCAGGCTCTGCCCAGTGCTCCCCGCCCCATCCACCCGACTGGGGCTGCTAGAATGGACCAATAAGGGGTCCCCCAGGGTGTGCTTGGGGCGGGGCCTGTGAGGGGATGGCAGGGGAGAGAGGCTACCAGGAATGCCAGGTGGGCAGGGAGACGGGGACAGACCGCCTGGATATTTGGCCCCACACCCCAGGCCGGTGAGACAAGGAGATGACAAAGACGCTGGTGCAGGGGGCAGGACTGGCTGCAGCTCCCTGGGGCCCCTGGGAGGCCTGAGACCACCCCCGAGGCTGCAGGGCCCCTCGCCCCAAATCCACTCTCTCGGCTCTACCATTTGTCAAAAATAATTGGCCTGGCAGTGCACCTGCCCGGCCCCGCCCCCCGGCCCCGGTCGCAGGATCAGCGGCCGCCGCAGAGCCTCGCCGCGCGCCTGCAGCGTGGTGTTGTCCAGGCTGCGTCTTCAGCGCCGCGTGATTGTCCCTCATTTATTTCCGCCCGTTGCGCGGTGAGTGGCCCCTGCCGGAGCCGGCCGCTCTCCCCGCGCCTCGGGCGTCGTCCCCGCGGCTCCCGCGCGGCGAGGGGCCCGCCAGACGCGGATGAGCCTTGGCGGCTCATACATCGCCGCACAGCCCTTTGTGGAAACGCGTCTGCGGCCTCCTGGCCCCTACACCGGTGTCTGTCGGGCCGGGCGGCGGTGCGGTTTAATTAGCCGGGCACCCCGGGGCTGGGAGTGCGCAGCCACACTCAGATGGGCGGCTGGGGGCGGGTAGGGGGCCTGGCTGAGCCATGTGAGTGGAACAACTTGCGGGCTCCTCCCTGGTGCACCCCTCCCTGCGGATTGCCCCTGCCACCGGACAGCCAGCGAAACCTGGGCTCCCCTGCTAGGTTCATTCGTTCTGCATGGCACACAACAGGTGCCTACTAAGTGCCAGGATGAATGGGCCCCTGCCTCCTTTTCCAGGCTGGAATGTGTGGGACCCTCCTCCCTCTCTCCCCAGCCCCCAGTCAATCGACAGGACTCCCCAGGGAGCCCCCGCATGCCCTCGCTGCTGCTGGAGCACAGGGCTCAGGGTGCAGAGTCCTCACAGCCATTTCCAGTTGCCTTCAGGGACTCTGGGCCTGTCTGGGCCTGCAGTCCAAGGGTGGGGTTGATGCTGGTGGATCCACTCCATGGCTACATGGCTGGGAAGAAATCAGAGAGAACTTCCTGGAGGAGGCGCCAGCGGCAGCTTCGGGGACCGAGCATAGGAGCTAGAACTCTTGAGTTCTGTGGAGAGAGCTGGGAGCTGGGGTGGGCAGGAGCATGGGGGGCTGGGCAGGTGCCCACTCCTCCCAACTCAGGGTTCCAGGCTCTGCCTTGTCTCCTGGGGTAGTGGAAAGGCAGAGTCCCCGGGGGGGGGGACCCAGTCATGGTGGCACAGAGGCAAGGGGACATACTGTACCTTGAGGGCCTCCTGAGCAGGGAGCCATGGCCAAACTCTAGACCCAGGCCCAGGGGCCTCCAAGTAGCAGAGACCCTCCAGCCACTCCATCCTCGTGGGGAAACTGAGGCACAGCATCCCACTCCCTCCCTGGGGCCAGGAGCCCTGCAAAGCCCCCAGGCTGTGATGTGCATGGGGCTGGGTGTGTCCAGCAGGGGTGACCGGGGTCCCACAAGGTGGCAGCACCAAGGACAAGGCCACCAGCTCACATCACTTCACACCCCGGGTCTCAGCTCCCTCACTTTCGGGGTATCTGGGCAGGTGGCCCCGGAGCCTTGAGGAGGACCGAGTTATCTGACAAATAAGCACCTCCTCCCCTCTGAACGTGTTGGTGCTGGGTTCTCGGTCTCTCTGGCCCATCCATCTACTACTAGCTGCTGCATATACTACTGCTTCTATTAATTCAGAACCAATTGAAGGATTAAAAAAAAAATTGTCCCAATTACCGTGCAAAGCCCTGGGCAGCTGGATAAACAGGGGACCGGCACTCCCGTCTGAGGCCTCAGCCCGTCCGTGTGTGCAGCCATCAGACAGGGCAGCTCCAGGGGCACCTCGGCCCCCCAGAGGTCTGTTATCACGCCTCAGCCCTCCCAGGAGTCGAGCTGGGTGTGTGGCTTGGCTGAGGGGGTTAGCTGAACCCTGAACCCCAGCACCTGGAGGCCACCAGCCCCTGCCCGCCTCATCTGGGGTGGCTCCAGGCACGGTGAGCCCAGCAGTAACTGTGCTCAGTGGCGCCGCCCTGGTGGCGCTTGGGAGACACACACACACACACACACACACACACACACACACGCCAGGAGCTGTTAGGGATACTGTCTACAGATTAGCCCGAGGCTGGCCTGGCATTCTTGGACCCGGGCCAAGAGGTGCGGCCCGCGGGAAAGCAGCAGCAAGGGAGAGGTTGACAAGTTGGACACGGACTCCTGCGGCATTAATGAAGCTTCCCCGCGGCGGCCTCAGTGTCCGGCTGAAGCTGCTCCCAGGCACCGGCGGCCCACCCACCTGGCCCTGCACCTGACCTCAGGCATCGGCTGGGCCAGGGCCAGGGATGACGGGGCCCCAGGCTGGGAGCTGAGCCTCCAGCCCTGGCCCAGCAACCCGGCCCCCTTTCCGGGCCCCTCATCCTCGCCGGCTGGCCGGTGATCTCATCCCTTCCTGGTCTCTAAATATCACCGGAATGCTCACGACTCCCAAATGCATCCTCCAGCCGGGCCCCTCTCCCGAGCTCAGCCTGCACAGCCCACGCGACACCCCCGCCCAGATGTCTCCCGGGCCTCTCACGAGGCAGCTGCTCCTCCCGGCACCCCCCCCCCCACCTCAGGGATGGGCGCCCTGTGCCGGCTGCTCAGGGCAGACGCCTGGGCGCCCTGCCCGCCGCCTCCGCCCCAGGCCGCCGAGCCCAGCTTGAAGCGCTGCGTCTGTCCACTGCTTTCTGGATCCTTCCACCCTCACCCCCCCTCAGGTTGGATCTCCCTGCAGCTGACCTCCCCACTCCCCGTGTCCCCCCTGAGGGACAGAGCCCCCAAGGCCTGGCTGACCACCATACACTCCTAGGTCCCCTGAGCTCCCTGCTTCAGCCTTGCTTCTGGTCACCTCCTGCAGCGGGCTTGGTGTCCATTGTCCCCATTCCATGCATGTCCCACTGTCGCCCTTGAGGGGAGGGGTACTGCGGTGCGATCTGGCCATGCGAGGAGGAAGAGCCCAGTGAGGCCAGCGTGGCCCTGCAGGCTCCTGAGCCACCACAGCCGGTGGGCTCCCAGGCTCCATCCGTGGCCCAGCTGCAAGCAGCCCGAGGACAGGCACTTGTCAGTGAAGAGGTAGGTAGTGAGCTCCCCATCCTGGGAGGTATGCAAGGCTTGTGTGGAACCTGCCACGCTTCTGAGAGCATTGAGACCACCAACCGGCAGGCAGGGCAGCAGGTTCTTTTGAACTTGCTCCTGAGCTGAATGGTGGACACCTGTCCCCCCACCCCCACCCCGCCCCAGCCTCTGCTCAGAGCCTGCCCCTACCCAGATGGCACCGTGTGCCTGGGACACCCAGAAGCTATCACAGGCCAGCCCCAGAGCTGCAATAGGGGCTCTCAGAGAGATTGGGTAGAAGCCCGCCCGACAGCCCGGACCCCAGCCCCACAGGCAAGGCTGCTTGTCCCAGCGCCAGGTGCGTCCACTGAGCAGGTGCAGGTGGAGGTGCGGGCAGTGGGGCAGGGGCGGGAGCGCCAGGTGGCAGTCACGGGGGTCTCCTGGAAGAAAAGAGTAGAGGACCCTGATGAAGAGAAGGGAGGGCCAGCAAACAAGGCCAGAGCATCCTCAATCCAGCCTGGGCCCGCTGGCGGGGCGGGGCGGGGCGGGGCGGGGAGGGCCGGGGTCCGAGCCCCAGCCTTGCACAGGCAGAGGAGCAGCGGGTGGGGGTGAGCTGGGGGCCTTGGCTGCTGAGCCGGCCCCCCTTCCTCTCCTCCTCCCCTGGGCTCCTGGCACCCAGGCCGCCCCCAGGCCATCTGGCTGCACCAGCAAGCTCCCCACTCCCTCCCCCATCCCGCAGCGCTCCCTCCTCCCCTCCCAGGCCTGCCTGTGGGGAGGGGGGGCCCTTTTTCCTGGGGAGCCTCCTGCCCCGCTTCCTGGCCCCTCCTGTTTCTCTTGCTTCCTCAGGGGCCAGGCCCGTGGGAAAGTGTCGAGTGTATTTTTACCTCTGCCGAGTGCCCTGTTTCCAAGTGCATGAGGTATGCGTGTGCGCACGTGTGTGTCCCGCTCTGCCAGTGCCTGCTTGCTTGCGCGTGTGCGGCATGTGTGTGCAGGGGCGTGCACGCCCACTGGGGCCCACACCTGGGGGTGCGGTGCAGTCTAAGTGTGGAAGGGCCTGAGGTCATGGGTCTCAAGCCGCCCCCTGCAGCTGTGGGGGCAGGGACCTCCCAGAACCCCATCCCCCCCAAGCCTCCTCCCCAGGGCTGCCCCAAGCCACATGGGGGCTGGGGTAGAAGACGCCAAGGCAGAGGTCCCCATAAAGGCAGCCACGCTGCACCCACCCGTGGGTCTCTGCCCAGCCTTCACTGAAGCCAGCAGGCTGGTGGCTGGGGGAGGGGTGGGGAGCGGTGGCATGGCCTCCTGGGTGTCACTCAGGGAGCTGACCTCAGCCCAAGACGCGTGGCCAGCTAACTCCCCTTCCCGGGCGATTGCCGGTCCCGTGGCCTCGACTGGGGTGGGAGGGAGCTTCCGTCCCCCTCACCACCCACCCACCAGCAGCGCCCCCATGGCCCGGAGCCCAGAGCTTAAGAAAAGAGCTCTTTATTCCACGTCGTCCGATATTTTTACACAAGTAAAATAAAATGCATATCTCTATATACCGCGGTGTGGGTGGGGAGGCAGCGTTCTGGAACAAATGCCGCCCTCCCAAAACCCTGTAAACATGGTGGCGTGGGGGGAGGGGCGGCTGGGCGGGTGCTGGCTGGCTGGCTGGCTGGCTGCGGCGTGGACGGAGACCCCCTATGTACAACCCACCCCCGCGCTGCTGAGGTCCTGGCTCAGCATGCCCCGAGCACCGTCCACAGCACCAACGCGGCCAGCCCGAGGCCCAGAGGCGCCAGGCCGCAGGCCAGGGCCGGCGCGGTGCCCGTGCCCTCTGCATCATCGCCGCCGCCGCCGCCGCCGCCGCCTCCCCCCGCGCCCGCCTGGGGGCCCAGGCGGCACTGGCTGCGGGTGCGGTTCTTGCGGGAGCAGCCGGGCCTCCGGGGGCGTGGGCCTGCGGTGGGGAGCCCCGGGGACTCGGCAGAGCTGGGCACGGTCCCAAAGGGGGAGTCGTTGATCTGCCTGGGGCGCGAGCAGCAGCCCGCTGGCATATGCGGTGTTTGCTTCGTGCTGTCCCCGACTGCTGATCGTACCATGATTAGTTGTTTCTTAAGGCGGTAATCTAGACGTAAGACATGAGAGGAGTTATGCGCTAGTTCTGATGCAGGATTGAGCAGTGATCCGTTGGTTCTCTCTCAGTC